ATTCAGAGATAGAATATTACTATCACACCATTTCTTTATCTTCTCAAGTTCCTGTGAAACCCGTCCAGAAAGTTGCTGTAGGTTTTCACCCGATGCCCATATGGTAGTGTCATCAGCAAACAAAACCACTTTCACTAAATCCGAAACCTTGCATACATCGTTAATGTATAATATAAATAATTTAGGTCCCAAAACTGAACCCTGAGGCACTCCACATACAATGTCCAGTTCACTCGATTGATATTCACCCAACTTCACAAATTGACGCTTCTGTGTCAAATAACTACTAATCCATTTCAGAGCCATTCCTCTGATCCCATATTTTTCTAACTTGTCCATTAATAATTCATGATTGATTGTGTCAAATGCCTTTTTTAGGTCAATAAATATTCCTATCGTGTATTTCTTCTCATCCATAGCACTTGTAATGTCCTCCATCAGGTCGGTAATGGCCAAAGATGTCGACCGGTTCGACCTTAAACCATACTGGCAACCTTATAAAGTCATTTTAAACAGACATTTCAATAATTTAATAAGCTTCAACAAATGAGGGCAACATGGTGGTACAGTGGTTGGCACTGTCGCCTCACCGCAAGAACCTGGCAGCCGACCAGGGCCTTTCTGTCTGGAGTCTCTATGTTCTTTCTTCCTGTGCCTGCATGTAGAAAATGGATAAACGGATGCACTAAATAACTGTTCAGTGAATCTGCTGATAATATAAAATGTAAAAAATAAGTTTCCAGAGCCCATAGTACCATCTTAACATAGCTCGCTTTTTTTAAATAACCAACAATCCAAAGGATTTTCAGCTTAGTGATACAACAAAGGATGAGCTTCTACATTTTAATGATTGACTACTATAAAATGCCAGAAAACATTATTCGCATTCTTCCAGAGACCAATGTGTTGCTTCAAACTTCTGGGCGATTAAGTCTAAAACCAAACGTTTTCAGTTTACATTACAGAAAAAGAGCAAATATTCCCATTTGAACATTTGTAATCATTTAGTTTCTGACACTTTTAAAGAAAAATACAATCAGTTCTTTCTGGCTTTTGACTCCTTACCCAACTCCAAAGGAGAGCTGCACAAGAATTCCTATATACCTAGACTGTTTATGCATAAATGGCGAAAATAAAAAAATCTTGAATCTTCAGCTATGCAAATCGCCATTAAATTCCTTTTGCTTGCTTAGTGACATCTCAGGAGCCCAACATTATTGGAATACTTCTAAAACTTAGTCTTATCATTTTATTTTAGAAATCATTCAGGGAGAACTGTAACTTAGTATCATCTTTGCAGTGTCACTGTGGGCTACTAACCCGTTTATTATGACCCATAACATCAAAAGTCCCACACTATTATAATCACAGATAAACCGCACTAAAATATTATATTTCACTTCTGAGTCTCCAAAAATCCTGCAGTTTGTCTGCTTTGTCGTGACCCATTTCAACAGACTAGTGCATATGGACAGCTGTTAAAATGCAAGTGAATCCCAAGTAGTGGGACGACATGTCATTTATTACTGTGATTTCTTCTAAATGCAAACATGCAATGACATAGAGGACTCCATCTGTGTATCATGGAGTCGTCATTGTGGATGCTCATGAAAACATAAGCGTGCCTGCAGCTGTCACATATGAAACCGTTGCGTTTTATTTGCCCTTGAAATCATAGCAGGGGGTCTATGGGCTCCAATCGTACAGGTAAAACTGGTGTTTTTCTGTCATGTCCCAGCCTGTTACCAATGAAGACATGACTGATCTTTCTTCCGTTACTATCTTTAAATGAAGCATCCTTGTTTAGCTGCCAGACTCCTGCCTTGTAGTTAGTTCTTCTCGCAGACTGTCACTGATGTGACCTAGGACTGGGAGGGCGATGGAAAAGAAAGCCCTTTATTTGCTACGGCACATTTGGAGGACCAAGGAAAATACACATACTATAGTTCTTTGACTGTAAATGAACGTCAACATTACCAAATGCAGACAATGTTAGTTGTTAAGACGCGATGCACAACATAAGATAGGAAAAGCTAACGCTGCCCCCCATTAGCTGTTAATGCTAATGGACTAACGTGGCCCAAACATGGTTTCCAACTTACCTGAAAGTCTACAAATACACAGTTCTATTCCGGGATGTTGTGGGGAATGTGATCCTTTCTAACATTTTCTTCAGTGTGCGACAAAGCTGCGCTGGTTTTGTCCAAACTCCGTGTTGACAATTGACGAGCTCCGCTACGTGAGAAAAGATAACGAAGCCAATTCCGGCCCTGGGTTTTTCACAATAAAAGTCGAATCAAAAGGGGTATCGCTACACACCAAAGTTCTATTACACATCGGTTCTTTTCCTGCTTCCTGTGTTTTACAAAACACCAGGACTTAAGGGTCTAAAAATAACGCCAACGTATGTTCGACATATTTAAAACGTACCGAGGGTCTTCAAATTAGAAAAGGAATTTGACATTTTAAATAACCAACACACCCTTTTATATTAATATATTTTTATAAATATAAACAGCTAAATTAAAAGGCTGCACTGAGCAGCCTGTAAAACAATAACTCATATTTTACCAGATGCATTTAAGAAAAGAACTCAAATTGTCAAACTATAAATGGAGTTTTGCCTGCTCTTAAAAAAGATGAAATGATTAGGGGCTATGTTGTTGCAACTGAAATAAACTTGGCAGCTACTGCTGGAGTACGATGACAGTAAAATAAAGTCCAAAATTTTCAACTCAATACACGGTGTGGTAAACTGAAAACACAGCAATGTAAATTCCAGGCACAGTTTTGTTTTATTTTTTTCCATAACACTATTGAGGAATTTCATTAAATTCAAGACAACTTGACTGTAGTTAAGTTCAGGAGTATTTTATTTGGCTCCCTTGTATAATGAACATTCCTCATGAAGAGACTTATACAGAAAGGACCATCACTTTATCCAAAGTAAAGCCACATGCAAGCTGTAAGGCATAAAAGTTCACAAGAAAAGCTTGTGAAACCATATATAAATCAGTTTAACAAGTAAATAATATTTAAAACATCCACTGTTAAATCGAGGTCTACAGCAGCTGCAGTAATCAGACATCACTGGTTTCTGCGTCTCTGCTTTTCCATAGAGTTCTGTGTTTTCTGAGATCATCATAGTTCTGACAAAAGACAATACTATTATAATTTCCCCAACAGCTTTACAGTTTACTGTGATGCCACAGCTATACTAAATGACTCCTTGATTTAAATGGAAAGATCATTCATAATCCTCTTTTTCCCAAAACAGGGTCCAGGTCTTATGAGCCCACAAACAGCCGGTTTATCTGCGATCAGTGGTGCCTGACTTCCTCTTCCCGGCCAGGAGATGTTTGGGCTTGAGGTCAAACACGTGTCTGTCTGACTCGCCCTTCCTGCCTTGGCGGTTCATACCCTTCTGGGAGTTCTTTGCCATTTTCTTTGCCTTCTTTACCATCTGAGGAACAATAAAAACATTTTTTTTTTAAGTTTTACGCACACCGAGTCCTTAATGTGCAGAACATTCCCTCACATCCGTTTATGCACATTGCACACAAAAGCTGTATTTTTATGTGCAAACACAAGAGCCGAGGTCATGTCTTGGAACCAGTTCATATTTATTATCCAATAATATTTAGACACTATGACACTAGATAAACAGCAAATCCATTAACTCAGATGACAAAAAACTATAGCTGACATTTTTGTGATCTTTTAAAAAAAAAGCTGGTGTTTAATTTTTTTAAGTAAATCTATCCACATTGAAGTCTTATTTTAATATGAATCGACCTGTGGGCTAATCTTCTATTTATCAATGAAATAACTGACAGTCCCTAATAAGAACGAGTTCATACAGTCAGGGAAAAAAAATTATTATTTGAACCCCAACTGATTTTGTAAGTTTGCCCACTAACAAAGAAATGATCAGTCTACAATTTCAATGGTAGGTTTATGTGAACAGTGAGAGACACAACAATAACAAAAAA